AGAGAGAGAGAGAGAGAGAGAGAGAGAGAGAGAGAGAGAGAGAGAGAGAGGGAAGACAAAAGGAGAGGTTGTCAAAGAACTTGCCTTTCTCGATCTTCAGCAAGCTCTCTCGCATCACTTCAACTTTCCTGAACATGTCATGGCTGTTCTCATGTACCTTCGGCAAGCCATTGAACCCATGGTACATCGATCCCACAAAATGGCCAACGTCCCTTGCAGGATACACCTGCTTGCCGCTTCCTGCTCCACTGACCGCCAACCTCATCAACTCGCCCGTAAGATCTGCCAGCTGCAGTTCCAGGGAGTTCCAGCGAGTTCCAGGGAGTTCCATGGTCCATGGAATCCCAGATTAAAGTGGAGAAACAGGCAGCAACAGGAGTCGATCAGCCAATTTGCCAGGAACAAGCGAGAGTTGTGTCCGAGACATCCAGTAAAAGAGGTAACAAGGTTGCAAGGCGGCAAAAGAAATTAGAACTGAAATTCAAATCCTTCTGATGCTAGAATAGTCGTGTAGTACACGTGTTCGAGCATCGTGCATGCAGAGCGCGCAGATAGGAGTCAAAGAGTCGACCACTTTGAGATAACGAGAACAAGTGGCTAAGTAATTCACATCAATGTATCGACAAATACGCAAAGTGCATTCACATCAACGCATAAATAGGCTAAGTTATGAACATCAACGCATTCTGACTTGTGACATCATCGATAAGTACATGACTCCTCCTTCATGGCAGCAATGACTCTGACATGCTCGCTCACTGCATGACTTAAAAAGATGGATGCATGACTATCAGAGTTGGGGCCCATTAGGAATAGTTTTTTTCAGCCACGTGAAAGGATTTCACATGTCTGGGAGTTCTGGTCCCAGTTCAGAGTCCCAATGTCCCATGTATTATAGTCCCAAAGGTAGGTGTCATAGGTCCACTCCTTGCAAAACGTCAGATTGGCTGTCCCGTAGGCTGGTAGGTTAGAAAGTCTAGGATCCCAGTTCATCACTGGTCCGTAGGAAGTCAGTCTGTCAGCCCTTTACAACTCAGTACCAGAAAAGTCCGTGAAAACCCCGGATGCTTCAGAAGCTGACTGCCGCCGGCTGGCAAAGAGTAAAAAGCACTAAAAACTGGTCAGGAAGATCCAAATTTGGGAACTGCAGCAAGTACAAGAGGCCGGTAGCAGTAGTAGGCCAACAAAATTTCCATTCATGCCTGCCGTGGAAGCGCTGCTGTGGACTTGCACGCTCAAGCATTAGATGTGAGGAAGATAGTAGTAATTGACAGCGCTGGCTGGCAGAGCTGGTAGATCAGAGTGCGAGAGAGAGAGAGCGAAGACATTCGGAGAGGGAGAGAGCAAGGCCTGTAAGAGTAGATGCGCAGTGTTTCAGAGAGCGAGAATGTGGGCTTGGCCGCCATAGCTGCAAGTGTGTACATAATGAGACATGTTGCATGAGCTTTAGTTTTTGTGAGACATGTAGCATAAGGCTAGAGTTTTTGAGTAACTTCCAAATCGCTCTGATGAGTCTAATCAGTAATTTCATCTTTTCTTTCCCTCACCTTGGTGTGCATCCCATGTGCAAGCTTGTGTGTGTGTGCTGAACTGTGAAGTCATCATGCGGTAAAAAGAAAAGTAAGTCGAGGTCTACTGCACATGCCAATAGGCAGGGCCTAATCTCTCTCTCATCCTATCCGCCTAGACTTTTGCCAGTCGCCATGTGGACAGACCCTGTGTTTTCTCTCTCATCTAATTACATAAGATTTTCTTCAGTCACGTGGATAGACCCTGTCTGTGTGTTGCATCCGATCCGTTCCTTGTGGTAGGATAAAGGCAGACAGACACCCTCTAGTTACTCAGGGACATCAAGGGGTCTGACATCTGTCATCCGACACATTCAGTTTTCATGAACATGACGACAGATCCTTGCATTGTTCGTTTGCTGAAACGGGGTTGCAAGTGTGTGCAAGGAGAACCTGTGGGCGACCTTAGGACGATGACATATGCCATAACAATTGGGCCCGTGCTGAGGTCGACGGTGTACACATCAGACTGGGAAATTTTTCATCATTGACCCAAGACATGTGCACGGCCTGACTGGGAGAACTGGCCATGACCGCAATGGGCAGCACGCGAAGGGCCGTTTGAAGAAAGACTCACGCCAAGCACGTAGTCCGCAACAGAAATGGTGAAAGGGTCTCCAAACGCATCTCTGATCTCAGAAAAGCTGTCGTTCACTTGGGTATACATCAGAAGAGAACCATGCTTGCAGAATTCCGACAAGGATGCGGCCTCCACATACTCCTGAACCTGCAGTGGATCAAACAGCCCAAGCAGCAAGCAGTCACTCGACCAGCTGTGCATCATGACAACAAAAAAAATAAATTGTCTCCTCCTAAATTTGTGCTCCACAGAAGAGAGAGAAGAAAGGTGAAAAATGGAAAACAAACGACAGTTATGCGTTTGGGACATAGCTGCATCGGACCGGACCCCCCACTGGATCCGGACCCCGGAACCCGAACCTTCCGGGCCCTACCGGACATCCGGAACACCGGAATTCTCCGGAAGATCCGGACCAGTCCGGATCCCCTTTCCGGATGTCTGTCCAGTTCCCCATATTTTCCGGGGAAAAAACAAAAAAAAAAAGTGTACGTACATACATTACCTCGGTGTGTGTGTAGGATACTAGGATGAGCAAAATCAGAATGAATCTTCAGCCAGAACATGGAAATATACACTGCCACACTTTTTTTTTTTCTTTCATGTGTGCATCAACTGAGCAGCCTGCCAATGTGCAAAATGAGAAGGAATCTTCCGCAAGAACATAGGAAGACACACCACGACAGACAGATACATTGAAAATAAATCCAGGTGTGAGTATGGACTAAGGTGCTGTCAGATGCAAATGTTGCAGAGAG